ATTTTAAAAGATATCGTTCAAAAAAATTAAAATAGTCCGACCCACTTTAGAGGCCCAGCCCGTTTGTATTGTAAGAGGGGAGGGGGGTTTACAATAGTTCTAATTCAAATTGGATTTCTTTTTTACAATTTTTCTTTTCAAATTTAATTACAAAATTTTCAAACTCATAATTTCATTTTTAATAATTCAATTTAATTATCATAGTTACATATGGGTATATATATCAATATTTCATATCTTCCTTATGTAATTAAACACTAGATTTGGTTATAAATTATTAATTATCAATAAAAACACAATTAAGCAACATTGAACTTCAATTTACTAATTCAAATTATTTTCATCAATCTTCATTATCTTATTCCGACATTTTTATCGACATCGACATTTTCACAAGTAAGTTACTCATATTTTTACATATGATAGTTAGGAGTGATCAATTATAACTTAATTAAGCTACAATTAAAGTTTTATTTACTAATTAAAATAATTTTTATTATTTTTTACAATTTTCGTGATTTTTCTCCAAATATCTGTCGACATCGACATGTCCATAAAATCGACACCTCGATATTTCCATCGACATGGACATTTTGAACCTTTCCAAGGGACAAGTTTTCCGAAACTTCAAGGCGAAAAAAGACAATTTACCAATTTTTTTTGGTAGAAAAAAGGACTAGTATTTTATTTATTATGACAATTAATGGTAAAGTTTGCAATCTTATTTGGGCTTCATTCACACCTATCCCAATGTTTGAAGCCCAAATAAAGTTAATGGTAATATTAGGCCCACAAAGTAAATAGATATGACCCTCTTTTTTTTTTGGCGGATTAGTATTTTGAAAGACAAGGCATATGATGGAATACATTTCATTAAAGTCCTTTTATTCTCCTATTAAAATAAATTACTTTAGATTAACATTTCGAACAAGAGATTCTAATACTTTAGGATAGATGAGTTCTTCCTACTAATTACTAATTAGTATCTTCAAATCACTTATAGATTGACATATATAGATCACATCAGAATATGATGCCCTACAAAAATCCTTAAGCATATTTTTCTTTAATATATATTCTAAATTCTTTATAAGATGAAAAGAGTTCAAATTAAAAAGAAAATACCAAATTAAGCCTACTCACCTTGTAGCCATAGTAAGCATATTTATGTGCAGCCAAATTATCATAATTAAAAAAAAAAGATGAATGAATGATCGTAAATAGTGGAGGAAAGTATTTGTCCAGCCAAATTATTAAGGGAAAAATAAAAGAGTAAAGATCATAAAACACCGTATAACAATTTGGTCTCCTAAAATTAGTTACAATTTAGTTCGGTTAGGTTAAGATTTAACAAAAATATGACGTGACGGTCAACTAAGATACATGTGTACAAATTAAAAGGATCACGTGTCCAAAATTGTGGGTCGGATTGGTTCAATTTAATAAAAATATAGCACTAAATATGTGTTGTTGTGGTTGTTTTTTTTTTTTTTTTGGAAGTGGGTATAATTTTGACAATAAATTCTAAAATGGAAAGAAATCCCAACAAAGATGGATAAGAATCAAAGCATTAGGAGACAAAGGCAAGTGAGTAAAGTGGAGGTCCTTTTCATCAATTTTCCCAAAACATTTCACACTTAAGACCCTAACCAAAAAAGTTATTCTTTCCTTTGTTTACTTGAAATGACCCCAACCAATACAATTATTTCTATTAAATAGCTCAAACAAATATAATTCTAAAAAAAAAAATCAAACAAATGGAACGATTGAGAACTCACTTATACTAACAATGTGCTAGTCTTACGAAAATAAAAAAATCAAATCCGCACATCATCATTCTTTTAATGTTTAGTGACAGTAGCAACTCGATTGAAAAAAAAGATTAATGCCTAAAAAATATCCAATGCAATTAAAATTTTATAGAAAGTAGATGAAAATGGAAAGTGACACCGTGACTAAATTATACATTTAGTATTATTTTTAATATGTATATTTATTGAAAACCATATCCAAAACAATCTAATATGATTTTGTCCCCTAAACATTCACATGCATACAAAGGGACATTTCTTGTAATCAAGAAAAAGTTATAAAATACATGTCTTTCAAATGATATGCACAAACAAAATTCAACTAAAAATAAAACAAAATGAGATTGGAGTTCGGTATAAATGTTCTATTCAAATTCAAATTTGAATAGTAAAAATATTTTTACAATGTCACGAGATTTTATATGATATGTCCACCAAAATTAAATGGTAATAAATCACTCAGTTCGAGCATAGTTCAAGTAATAAGACACATTAATATCATTTAAAAAGTTGATGGTTTGATCATCCACTACCTCACAATCGTTAAACCCGAAAGTTTTTTGAATCTCAGGTTTGATAACTTTTTTTTATTATAAATTATATTGGTCAATGATTCAATTATATCTATGCCACAATCCAACTGAATAAAGTAGAGTATTATGACTAATTTTATTTCCATAAAATGATCAAATTCCACTCAAGTTTATATCAAAACACCACCTCATCATTTTTACCATCCACATTAATCTTTTCGAAATTCATGCACCTTCCAACCAAGCTAGTCATTTTCTAAAATTAAATCTCAATATCGATCCAAATAGATGCTCCATTATCAATTTCATCATTGTATTATCTTTCCATTATTATTAAGACAAGAAAATACTCCACAATTTAGCGATATATTTTTCACTTCAAACTTAAGTCTACATAGTTTGATAATTAAGATGGTATTTATATACTCAGCATTCAACTATCTAATCTTAAATGTACTAAAAAAAATAAACACTCATCCTCCTCTCGTAGAATCTCTTTCACATCCTTTAAATCTAGCAAAATATTATATAGTTTAAATCACATGTAAGGTAGACAAAAGGGAAAAAAAAGAACAACAAAAGGACAAAAATGAGTAACATGCTTATAAACCTAATAATTTTCGTCCCTAACAACTCACAACTTCTTAGTTGACAATTAACGTTGAGCTATATTCGCTTTAACAAAGTTTAAAAGTGTTTTAATAGATATGAAAATTTTTAAAAAAATTGTCTAGAGTAAATAGTTTTTAAATAGAAAGTTGTGATCAAATTTGTAATTTGAGAGCATGAAATAAGATTTAAGCAAATTTAGAAAAATCATCGTAATATTTTAAATTAGTGGATCAATTTTCAAAAAAGAGGAAAAGGAGGTGGACGAATGGCAGAGCGACACGTGGGAGCTGCGCATGAGAGTTGATGTGGATTCCCCTGTATCGGAGAAGCGGGCGAAAGGAAACCGCAGCCTCCAATTTTCACTCTCTTCTCCGTCGCAAATCAATCACCAGACCACTGACTTCGTTCAATCCGCTCTGCTTTTCTTCTGATTCTTACACCCGAAAGCCAAAATCTTTGCCCCTCTGATCCCTCGATTTGCTTGGTCCTTGTCTTTCTTACGACCCCCCCACTTGCTTTCTCTCTGCCATCTTCATAATGGAGAGCTTTGCCCTCCAATCCCTCTCCACTACCTCCTCCTTTTCTCCCATTTCTCGCATTTCTCTCCTCCGCCGCCCACGACCCATTTCCCATTCTCAATCCTTTTCCTTCCCAATCTCCCCCAATTTCTCCCCCTCCACTTCCAAACCCATTTCCCATTTCCCCCTTTTCACCTCTCAATCTTCCCTTTTCAATTCGCTCCCCAAATCGCATCGATACCACCCAATGCGGACCACTGCCCAATCCTCTCAATCCCCCGACATTCAGTCCCCAACCCCACCTCCCCGCCGAGGCGCCAAGCCCATCCCCTTCCTCATCTCCATCGCTGTTGGCCTCATTGTTCGCTTTGCCGTCCCCAAACCCGTCGATGTTTCGCTTCAAGCCTGGCAGCTGCTCTCCATCTTCTTGTCCACGATTGCCGGGCTTGTTCTGAGCCCCTTGCCGGTCGGTGCGTGGGCGTTTCTTGGCCTCACTGTTACTGTTGTCACTAAGACTCTGACGTTTGCTGCTGCGTTTAATGCCTTCACCAGCGAGGTGATTTGGTTGATTGTCATTTCCTTCTTTTTCGCTCGTGGGTTTGTCAAAACTGGATTGGGGGATAGAATCGCGACGTATTTTGTTAAGTGGATGGGGAAGAGTACGCTTGGGTTGTCTTATGGTCTCACGATTAGTGAGGCGTTGATCGCCCCTGCAATGCCGAGCACCACCGCCAGAGCCGGTGGTGTGTTTTTGCCCATTATTAAGTCGTTGTCGCTCGCTGCTGACAGTAAACCCAACGACCCATCGTCTAAAAAGATCGGTGCTTATCTTGTTCTGTCTCAATTTCAGGTTCCTTTGCTACTTTTGCATGCTCTATTATCAGCTGTATTTTCCATTGTCTTTCTGGATTTGTGTTTCTACTGCCAATAAGCTTTGCCATGCCAAATCTTTGTCTGCTGATTGTTGAGGTTTTGAGCGACTGGCTGCTTTATGCGTTTGTTATATTTATGGATTTTATGTGATTGGATATTGGCAAGGCATAGCGTAACACTTTGATTTTTTGAGAGGAATAAAACTTCGGAGATGGCTTACTTTAACACCTCAACATGGTGTTCTCTTTTTGCTCTGTTTTGTTATTAATACCAACTGGAGAGCCTTTCTTCTACTTTTCTTTCATATCATTAATTAAAAGTTTAGTTTCTTGTCAAGAGAAAATAAAAAGGTGGGCATAGAACTTTTATCAGGGAAATTTAGGAGCCTCTCAAACTTAAAATTTTCATCTGATTCAATATCCATTTTAGTTGCTGATTCTGCTCTACACTAATTCTAGTTCTATTGCAGAAAAAAGTATGAAATCCCATTAAAGCTTGTACTTTTAGCTACTCATTCGGGAATGAGAAGAAATTTCTATCGCTTCAATTTATCCAATCATTCTTCTGGTATGTGTGGAGTGAAGGAATAGAAGACTTTTCAACAACAAAGATACATTAACTTTTTAGAAACTCTCACTTTTGTTTCCCTCACATGGTTTTGATGCTATACTCCTTTCGACAACTATGGTTGTAAACACTCTTTTAGCCAATTGGATGGCTTTTTTGTTATCTCCATTGGCTTGGGGCTTGTGTTCTGGTTCCTTTGATTATGTATTGATTTGATGTATGATGACATATGCTGCTATCAGGTTGTATCTATGACAATGAACGATTGTTAACTATTATCAGTTTGTATAAGTTGAATTTTGCATGTAAATATTCGTTAGTGGCATCTCAAGATACCGTTGGTAACTCGGTACTGCCTTCTTATCTGCTGGTGACAGTGTGCTGGTAACTCTAGTGCCCTCTTCCTTACTGCTGCTGCTCAAAACTTGTTATGCCTGAAATTGGCTGAAGAACTTGGTGTACAAATATCTAGCCCATGGCTTACTTGGGCCAAGTTTGCTAGTGTCCCAGCAATTGTAGGTCTCTTGGTAACTCCAGCAATCTTATACAAGCTTTTTCCTCCCGAAACCAAAAACACGCCAGACGCCCCGGCCATGGCTACAAGAAAGTTGGCAGCCATGGGTCCCGTCACAAAAAATGAATGGGTCATGGTTGGTACTATGCTTATTGCAGTCTCTTTATGGATTGCTGGGTATGTAACATTAATATTTTTGCTTGATCATATGCATCGTTTTCTCTGGTCGTAGACATATTGATATGGTATGGAAATGGTATTTTCGTTGCTTGATCACTGACCTGCCCCTCTTCTACTGCTTGAAACCATTTTCTCATGATATTCTTGATTTCATTATACCAGTTAAAGCATTGGCACTACCTTAGGGGCACAAACCTTTTAGTCTGAAAATTTATGAACTGTTGTCAGCAGTAGAAGCGGCTGCAGATGCACATTAATTTTTATTTCTTACTTGTCATCTGTTACTTATGTTAATCATATGGTCGAATGGTTTTCGTTTCATCCTCTGGTTCCGAACTAAGCATCTTTTGTTTACTTTCAGAGAGGCCCTCAAAATACCAAGCGTTGTGGCTGCAATGATTGGTTTATCAATACTCCTTACCCTCGGAGTCCTTGATTGGGATGACTGCTTAGCCGAAAAGTCGGCTTGGGATACCTTAGCTTGGTTTGCTGTCCTCGTGGGCATGGCGGGCCAATTGACGAGTCTCGGTCTTGTTGGTTGGATGTCCAATTCTGTGGCCCATTTGCTGAAGTCTCTCTCCCTCAGCTGGCCTGCAGCATTTGCCATTCTTCAAGCATCTTACTTCTTGGTTCACTACCTCTTCGCCAGCCAAACTGGTCACGTTGGAGCTTTGTACTCGGCATTCCTTGCAATGCACTTGGCTGCCAAGGTACCCGGTTTGTTGGCTGCTCTGGCCTTAGCTTACAACACGAACCTCTTCGGCGCTCTGACCCATTACAGTAGTGGCCAAGCTGCTGTATACTATGGAGGTATGGCCTTCTAATTCTAACAGACATAGGAATCACAAACATGCCCATCTTCTTTGAATTCAGACAATGACCCCCTTGAGCCTGACATAAACCAATTGTTTGTGTGTGTTTCTTTGTCGCAACAGCGGGTTATGTCGAGCTACCGGACGTGTTCAAGATGGGATTCGTGATGGCACTCGTAAACGCTACTATCTGGAGCGTGGTTGGGGGTATTTGGTGGAAGATTCTGGGTCTATATTGAACATGAAATCTTGAATCAAATGGGTTATTATTTATGTGTTGTACATGCCCTGTCTTTGGGCACCATCGAGAGTTCAATTTTTATGTAGCCAATTTGTTTGTTCTCTTTCTCTCTACTGATGGGTGGGCATTGGTTAGGACTTTGATTAAATTTTGCCTTTGTCTAACCATTGCAAATCAAATGGTGCAAGGGAAATTGGTTGGTTATGAATGAGATTCATAATTTGGTGAAAAACCAATCTGAAACTCTGGCCTTCTTAATCTCTGAGTTCTTCATTTCTGTATTTCTGTTCTCGACTCATCGTTGTCTTCTTCTTTTGCCACGGAGGAACTTTGCACTCTTCAATGTTGTTCGGGGTGAAAATTAGTTGGATTGGTTGAAGTGACAATATTTAGTTTCCCTCTCGGTGTAGTACTAACTTTCAACTAGTTAAAGTCAAATATGACCATATCTCAATAGGTTAAAGTATGTATATTGTTAAGTTGGAGATTTATGAACACTAAACTAAACGGTTTTATTAAAAAAATTCAAAAAGATAAACTTCTTAAAAAATTATCATTACATCCTTCTGTCAAAATTACAAAAATTTCCTTTTAAGAACATTTTTAAAAAAATTCATATTGGTTTTTTAAATTATTAATAACAAAACAATTATTAAATGGGATTTTGTCTTTAACCTTTGGAAGCAATTTTCTTTACGTGAGAATGAAGTTTTGAACTTCAGAAAAGGAGCAATATGTCTAAAAAAAAAGAATTATTAACAATGATGAACTTGATTTTTCTTTTTTCTAAAACAGAAAAGTAGAAACCAAATATATTCTAATTTTTCTAAAACAATAATAATAAAAAAAATCGGATCATTGGGCCTGGAATGTCCGACCCGGCCCATTGGAGCGATGAGTTGGGTAAGTCGGTTCTATATAAACCCAAGAGAAATCGGGAGGGGGGTTTCGTTTCGCAGTGTATTTCTCCTTTTCCCGATCAAACAAAGCCCTAAAATTATCTGATTTTCTAATTTCGCTGCACAGACGAAGGAAGGAAAGTTCGCCATTCGAATTCGCCACTAGATTCAGGTCAGTTCATTTCTCTATCCTTCAATTTCTTCATTTCGCATCTCTTAAGTTTCTACAATTTTCTTACTGAAATCCTCATAGTCTATCCGCGAAACACTCGCCGAATCGATTTCTGGGGCTCTGGATTCAGACGCAAGTCATGGATTTAGAGATAGCCAAAACCCAGGAGGAGCGGAGGAAGATGGAGCAGCAGTTGGCTTCTCTCAGCTCAGTCACCTTCGATACTGATCTTTATGGCAGCAATGATAAGGCGGGTTATGTGACTTCCATCCCGGTTAACGAGGATGATGAGAACCTCGAATCCTTGGACAACGAGGTTGCTCGGAAGTTGGCATCGTATACGGCCCCCAAGTCTCTGTTGAAGGAGATGCCCAGAGGCAGCGAAGAAGATGATGATATGGGGTTTAAGAAACCCCAGAGGATTATTGATAGAGAGGATGATTATAGGAAACGGAGGTTGAATAGGGTGATATCACCTGAGAGGCACGATGCATTTGCTGCGGGTGAGAAGACGCCTGACCCGTCTGTGAGGACGTATGCGGAGGTTATGAGAGAGGAGGCGTTAAAGAGGGAGAAGGAGGAGACGTTAAGGGCTATAGCCAAGAAGAAGGAGGAAGAGGAGGCTGCTAAGGCGTCTGGTGAGAGGCCAAAGGAGTCGGCTGCAGCAGCTGCAGCACCCCAGAAGAGGAGGAATAGGTGGGATCAATCGCAGGACGAAGGTGGAGCAAAAAAAGCAAAGACCTCGGATTGGGATTTGCCTGATACAACACCTGGAAGGTGGGATGCCACACCAGGCAGAGTGGGGGATGCCACACCTGGTGTGGGGAGAAGGAATAGGTGGGATGAGACTCCGACTCCAGGGAGGTTGGCTGATTTGGACGCAACTCCAGCTGGTGGTGTTACGCCTGGTGCAACCCCAGCTGGAATGACTTGGGATGCAACTCCCAAACTTCCTGGGATGGCTACGCCAACTCCAAAAAGGCAGAGATCACGTTGGGATGAGACCCCAGCAACAATGGGAAGTGCAACTCCAATGCCTGGAGCTACCCCTGCTGCTGCTTTTACTCCCGGTGTGACTCCTGTTGGAGGAGTAGAGCTGGCTACCCCCACACCTGGGGCTATCAATTTGCGTGGCCCAATGACCCCTGAGCAGTATAACTTGATGAGGTGGGAGAGAGATATTGAGGAGAGAAACCGACCATTGACTGATGAAGAACTTGATGCCATGTTTCCACAAGAGGGATATAAGATTCTGGACCCTCCTGCTTCATATGTGCCTATTCGAACACCTGCAAGGAAGCTGCTTGCCACGCCAACTCCAATGGGAACTCCTCTTTATGCCATCCCAGAGGAGAATCGGGGGCAGCAGTTTGATGTTCCGAAGGAAGCACCTGGTGGCTTGCCGTTCATGAAGCCAGAGGATTACCAATACTTTGGGGCACTGTTGAATGAGGAAGACGAGGAGGAATTGTCTCCAGAAGAGCAGAAAGAGCGGAAGATTATGAAGCTCTTGCTCAAGGTAAAGAATGGAACGCCCCCTCAGAGGAAAACAGCTTTAAGGCAGCTTACTGATAAAGCTCGTGAGTTTGGTGCAGGCCCATTGTTCAACCGCATTCTGCCACTCCTTATGCAGCCTACTTTGGAGGACCAGGAGAGGCATCTTTTGGTTAAGGTTATTGACAGAGTCCTTTATAAATTGGATGAATTGGTTCGTCCCTATGTGCACAAAATTCTTGTTGTGATTGAGCCATTGTTGATTGATGAAGATTACTATGCACGTGTAGAAGGTAGAGAAATTATATCCAATCTTAGTAAGGCTGCTGGTTTGGCTACTATGATTGCTGCTATGCGTCCAGATATTGACAACATCGATGAGTATGTTAGAAATACAACTGCCAGGGCTTTTAGTGTTGTTGCTTCTGCACTTGGAATTCCTGCCCTTCTTCCATTTTTGAAAGCTGTGTGTCAGAGTAAAAAATCATGGCAAGCACGTCATACTGGAATTAAGATTGTTCAGCAGATTGCTATTCTTATTGGTTGTGCTGTTTTACCGCATCTTAGGTCTCTTGTTGAAATTATTGAACACGGTCTCAATGACGAGAACCAAAAGGTGAGGACAATTACTGCTCTGTCTCTAGCTGCACTTGCTGAGGCTGCAGCTCCATATGGTATTGAAAGCTTCGACTCCGTTTTGAAACCACTGTGGAAGGGTATTAGGTCGCACCGTGGTAAGGTGTTAGCAGCTTTCCTTAAGGCAATTGGTTTTATTATTCCTTTGATGGATGCGCTGTATGCCTGCTACTATACAAAGGAAGTGATGTACATTCTGATTCGAGAGTTTCAATCACCTGATGAAGAAATGAAGAAAATTGTTCTCAAAGTGGTCAAGCAGTGTGTGAGCACTGAGGGAGTAGAGGCTGATTATATTCGTAATGATATTCTTCCAGAATTCTTTAGGAACTTTTGGGTTCGAAGAATGGCTTTAGATCGTAGAAATTACAAGCAACTTGTGGACACAACTGTTGAGATAGCAAACAAAGTCGGTGTTGCTGATATTGTAGGTAGAGTTGTTGAAGATCTTAAGGATGAAAGTGAACCTTATAGAAGAATGGTTATGGAAACGATAGAGAAAGTTGTTGCGAACTTGGGTGCATCTGATATTGATGCTCGATTAGAAGAGTTGTTGATTGATGGGATTCTTTATGCCTTCCAAGAGCAGACCAGCGATGATGCTAATGTGATGCTTAATGGGTTCGGTGCAGTTGTCAACTCTCTTGGGCAAAGAGTAAAACCGTATCTTCCCCAGATTTGTGGTACCATAAAGTGGAGACTGAATAACAAGAGTGCAAAAGTGAGGCAGCAAGCAGCTGATCTTATTTCAAGGATTGCCGTTGTCATGAAGCAGTGCCAAGAGGAACAACTCATGGGCCATCTTGGCGTTGTCTTGTATGAGTATTTGGGAGAAGAATACCCTGAAGTTCTGGGTTCCATTTTGGGAGCTCTCAAGGCTATTGTGAATGTTATCGGTATGACAAAGATGACCCCTCCTATCAAGGATCTGCTTCCCAGATTAACACCAATTTTGAAGAACAGACATGAGAAAGTGCAGGAGAACTGCATTGATCTTGTTGGTCGTATTGCTGATCGTGGTGCTGAATTTGTTCCTGCAAGAGAGTGGATGAGGATCTGCTTTGAGTTGCTTGAGATGCTCAAAGCACACAAGAAGGGTATCCGGCGTGCCACGGTTAACACTTTCGGGTATATTGCTAAGGCCATTGGGCCACAAGATGTTTTGGCAACTTTATTGAACAATCTAAAAGTACAGGAACGTCAGAATCGTGTTTGCACCACCGTCGCAATTGCAATAGTCGCAGAAACATGTTCACCTTTTACAGTTCTGCCTGCCCTAATGAACGAGTATCGTGTGCCAGAGCTCAACGTGCAAAATGGTGTGTTGAAGTCTCTCTCCTTTCTTTTCGAGTATATAGGCGAAATGGGAAAGGACTATATCTATGCAGTGACGCCATTGCTCGAGGATGCTCTGATGGACCGAGATCTTGTCCACCGACAAACCGCAGCGTCTGCTGTGAAGCACATGGCTCTAGGGGTGGCCGGTTTAGGTTGTGAAGATGCCTTAGTCCACTTGCTGAACTATGTATGGCCGAACATATTCGAAACATCCCCGCACGTCATAAACGCAGTGATGGAAGCCATCGAAGGAATGAGGGTGGCATTGGGCGCAGCCGTTGTGCTCAACTACTGCCTGCAGGGGCTTTTCCACCCGGCTCGGAAAGTTCGAGAAGTATACTGGAAAATCTATAACTCGCTGTACATTGGTTCCCAGGATGCTCTTGTTTCAGCTTATCCAGCATTAGAAGATGGAGAAAACAATGTGTACAACCGACCGGAACTGGTGATGTTTGTGTGAAGTGAAGTGCATTAATTTTTGATGGGGCGAGTATGTATTGAATTAGTTTGTATCGTTTTGGGTTCTTAGCTCTTCACAGAAGGATTTCCATTAGTAAGTATRGCCCATTGGCCTTAGCATGTGATATTAATATCCTTTGCTGCTTATTCTAACTACTAAACCAAAGAAAGGGTTTTTTGCTAATGGGATCCTTTATTAGCATTATAATGTACTTTTTTCAGTTAAGTTGACCCGTTTTGTTCAACAAAATGATTAAGCTCGTGTAGCGATAAAAATTGTTAATCTAGGAAGTCAAAATGTATTGTAATGTTCTTTTTCGATTAAGTTCATTTTGGTATTTGTACTTTTAAAATATCCGATTTAGTTTATATTTTCAATTTTGGTTCATGGTAGTTTTTATATTTTTAAAATATTTGTTTTGGTTGAGGTAATTTTAAAAAATGACTATTTTAGTATGTTTATTTTTATTTTTATCTGATTTTTTTATCATAATTTTAGTCAATGAACAAATCTTGAACGATTAAAATAATAAATATTTAAATCTTAATAAGTTGTACGTGTTAAAACCTTATTTCACATGACACAAGATCTATCTTTTTATTTTATTTTATTTTATTTTTTTTTAGAAAAGCAAATATTTAGTCTTTAAACTTTTATAGTAATGTTTGATAAATCTTTAAAATTTTAAAACTTGCATTATAATCATTSTCATTAATGGAGAAATGATAGTTGAACAAAATTGAATATTACGATAATATTAAAGAAATTGGTACATTCTCTACAAGTGATCAAGAGTTATTGGGGATGGCGCAAATCTTATTTAAATTAAGATATGAAATACTTTTAATTAATAACTTCATAATATTATTTTGTTATTATATTTTAGCGATGGAAAAAACATAATAGATACACTATTCAGCCCAAAAAAACAAAAACAAAAATACATATTTCATATTAAAAAAGAAGTAAAAGTCTTAATATCAAATTAATATGTCAATAAATTTTACCACAAAAAAGAAATAATATGTTAATTTAAAAATAAATAGCATGGAATTGATTGGATCAGGACTATTAGCTTATTTTGCAGTTATTGATAAAAGAAAGGGTTTTCTAAATTAAAAATAAAAAGTAAAATGTTTTTTTTTTAATTTTAAAAAAGGGGAAATGGAAAATGCCTAAAATATACGAGCCGGTTTGAACCCGAAGTTACTGTAACTCCCTTTGAGAGAGAGGGGAGAGAGAGAAGAGAGAGAGAGAGAGAGACGGGGGAAGGGGCGGAGGGGCGGAGGAGAAGTCATGGAGCACGAAGACATCGACATGATTGGCTCGGAGAGCAACGATGCCGTCGTCAGTTTCTCTCTTCTCTTTCAAATGGATTCTCATTCACCATCTTCTTCTTTTTAGGGCTATAAACCCTAATTAATCTCTTTTGTTCTGGTTCTGTATCTCATTTCCGCCTCCTAATCGGGTTTCAGGAGCTAGACGACATGAAGAAACGGTTGAAAGAGATGGAAGATGAAGCTGCTGCCCTACGTGAGATGCAGGCCAAGGTCGAGAAGGAAATGAGTTCTGTACAAGGTTTGTTTCTGCTCTTCCTCGCTTTTCCAAATGCCTTTTCTGCTTTTCTACAATGTGCTGGAGATTTTCCGTCCTCAAGGAGGGATTTTTGTTCGTTGTGTCACTGTCATACGATTATCTTACTTGGATCTTCTTTGGTAAATACTGTGTCAGTAAGGCGAATTTTGGGCTGGAATTGGTTTTTTTTTCTTTTTTAAAAAATTCTAAAGGTCAACTTTTGATTGCATACAATCTGAAAATCTTATGGAAGCATGTATTTGCATTTGGATCTTATGAAAAGACATGAAGCTTGCATTGGGATTACATATTGGAGAAATACATTTTTACTGGGAAACTGGTTTTTAAACTGTTCACTATTTAGAGATGATCCATTCTCGTCTTGATCCTCAATGGAAGTTCTTATAGCATTTTTTGGAGCCTTTGATAAATTAAGAGAAGAAGTTGGCTACTGTACTGCTTTTGTTCTTTGAAAAAAAAAAATACCAACGTCGGAATTGGCATCAGAATCGTTGTTGCGCCAATTGAATTTGTTTTAGTTATGAAGACTATTTTCACTTGAATACATACTCATTCTTGAGAAGTTCCATCATGCCTTTCCTCGTTAACTGTTTCACCACTTTTCGTACTACCAGATCCAGCAAGTGCTGCTGCAAGTCAAGCAAATAGGGAGGAAGTGGATGCACGGTCAGTGTTTGTAGGCAATGTAAGTTCTTTTTTTCCATGACTACTATTATTTGCCTTTTTCATATTAATCCATTTTCTTGCTTTTGCCACTCATACTTATCAGTTACCTGAACTTTTAATGGGTGAAAGGATTCTCTTTGTTCATGTTAAATTCTGGAATATCATCAGCTTAGCTCACCTAAGGAAGACTGTATATTTCCATTTAATGACAAGCTAACTGATTCTCATTTATTTGCAATATATGGAATTTTAGGGCGTCTTTTTTCTTCGCTGGGTGTAGCTAGTTGGTATAGAGGCTGAATTTCAGTCTTCATTCTTCCTTTGGTAAAATAAAGTCTTGTGCACTTCATTTTCAATGTGTGATTAGAATGAAGCCATCAATTTATCAACTATAATAGCTTATGGAAGGAAACACCTTTTCCCCCATTTCTTAGTTGCATGAAATACTTCAACATTATGTATTTACTGTTTGCACGACCTCTTATTTTTACTAGATTTGTTGTTTCTAACATTTTAAGTTATTTATAAAGGGAAACTTCGAGTTGCTTCTTTTCTGCTTCCTTTTATAACAATCATCAGTACTTCTAAGTTCTATAGTTACTATGAGTGCCTTTATATGAAGAATGGGTCAATCTTATTGAAGYATTTGACAATTTTTTATATTTTAAAATGGAATGGAGGTATATTGGCTAGAGAAGCCACTTACAGAAGAACTATCTTCTTCGTTTAACATTAGAAAGAGCATTTTGAGCATCATTTCCTTTGAGGCTTCATTTATTTGCTTCTTGACGTGGCTGGAACCGGCTGACTTTCAATCGTTTGGTTTCATTCCCAATATGGTCATTAAGGTTTATTAAATTTCAGTAAGCCATGAGTTCCTTCTGGTACATTTCATTCTTGTCATTGGAAGAGCTAGGAACATGCTTTCCAGTTTGAGGGTGTTGAAGTGTTGGTTGCTTTGCCAGTAGTACTATTTAAAAGATGTTAGGCAGGATCATTGTTTTATTATCTATAATTCTGCCCTTTAAGAGCTTTGAAATCTATAATTACTTATGTCTCATGGAATATTTTCTAGGGATTATTGCCATAAATTCAATTCAATTCAGATGGTTTCTTCTAAAATTTTATGAATGACCCGTTTCTTCACTGTGCTTGAAATTTTAGCATATGTTGGTGTTTCTAGCCTGATTTGACTCCTGTGTTTGACTGCAATTACAGGTTAGGGTTACTTCATCAGGTTTTCTGATTACCTATTGCTGAAGTCGGAAATTCTCTGATATATTATAAAGATAGCTATCTAGTATTTAAAAAAAAAAAAAAAAAAAGGTTTCTTGTCCCAAGAAAGAATATATAAAAAATATGATGTATTGAAGGGTAAGGTGTAAAAATTTTTAAGAGGGTAAAAAGTTAGTTTTGAAAAGAGTGTCTGGGAGAAAAATGTTGAGATGAGTTTACGTGAAGAGAAAATATACCTAAATGTCTCGTAGCTCGTGCCTTGTTGGCTAAGTGGGTGGGCTGAGATTCAGTCAAACTTACATGTCTCAAGTTTGAGGCTATGTGGGTAATGAGGAGTTGGAAAAAAAGAAAGAAGATAAAATAAACTCACTAGCGTAGAAAGGGGTATGTTTGACTATGGATAAAGTCAGCAGAAGTTTTACTGGTTTGCTTGATTGGGCTGGAATGATGGAAAGGGCTTGACAAGTTTTGGAGGGAAGTAGTGTGCATTCACAACTAAKGAGGACTAGCCGTGGCGCTGAGGTATGTTATTGTCTTATGTTGAAGCTGGCATTGGTGGACCACCGTTCGAGGATTGTTTAAGTGATTTATAATCTATGGTGAGGGACCTCCAAATATTCTTTGTTATCCTGTCCTCCTCCCTTAATCCGTCAAGGAAAGGAAATAAATGTAATTAGGGAAGCTTTTTTATGTTTCTACTTTCGGGMAAAATTCATTTTTTACCCTTGCACTTAGCTCACTCAATTTTAATTTAAAAATTTTTAGTTTCATCAAATTGAACTCTGAGCTTGAATAAGTTATAAAATTAATACCCTCCTTACTATTAACTATTGAGTTAGAAAATTATTTTAAAACTAACTTATAAATAGTTCAAACCCAACCAATAAAACAACCCAACAAAATACAGCTTGAAAAGCTCTGAAACCAACTACAAAAACATCTATGCCCAACAATAAACAAGTACACAAGAATAGTCTGACTAGTAACAAGAGTCCACACTTAACCACGAATCTTAAAAAACTAAAAATAGTGACCAACTAACACAGGAGTTTTAACTATTCAAGTTCAGGTGTGTGATTGGATGAAACTGAAATTTTAAGATTAAATTTGACTCTTTGAGTGAAATACCTGGATAAATATACTTTTTTTTTTAGAAATAAAATATTTTTGCCGTTCTATAGATTATGTACATGAGAATGAGTTCCTTGGATGGTTTCTGTTTACTTGGCTATTACATATTCATTCCTGTGTGAAGAACACACATCCTGTTATAATCATGGGTCAACACAATTTTAGACGTCTAGGATTTTACTGGAGAACCATTCTGGAGAAATTAGAGTTGCTTGGTCGTCGCTCATCTGCTTATGAATGGGTGTCTATTTGGAAATAGAAAGGGGATAATTATAATGAATGATTGAGGCCCATCCTTTTTCTATTTCTTATTTTTTATTTTTCAGGTATACAGAGTTGGTGGTGTATTTGATGTTACTATGATTAGCATGCATCTCAGTTAGCTGAGAGATTGTGTAGAACTTGTGGCAACTGACTTGCTGCTTATAATTCAAGTCATAACTTAATTTCGTAAAGAAAAAAATTTGGCCACCCAGTAAGATGATGTGCCTCATTTTTTGATTAAAAGATAATGGTGAGATCCACTTTTTTATTTTATATAAATATAATATATATAAAGTATTAGGAATTGACTATGTTTATTTTACTAGTGTATAGCTGAGTTTTGTTCATTTGGAAATCTAAGTTGACCCGTTTAGCTTTAGTTGTACTTTTAGTTCTGATTTTTCGTGGTATGACATAAGTGTTTTGAGCTTCAATTGGAACAGGTTGACTACTCATGTACCCCAGAAGAAGTACAGCAACATTTCCAGTCATGTGGAACTGTAAACAGAATCACCATTCGCACTGATAAGTTTGGGCAACCAAAGGGTTATGCTTATGTTGAATTCCTTGAGCCCGAAGCTGTTCAAGAGGCTCTCCTTCTGAATGAATCAGAACTACATGGTCGACAGCTGAAGGTTAACATGTTTTGATTTATTATTTGATTGGTGTGTTTATGGTTATTCTACTGATTTTTCATCCACTTCTTTTGGTCAAAAATTGAAGTTTTGAGTATGTTGTAGGTAACTGCGAAGAGGACAAACATACCTGGGATGAAGCAGTATCGTCCACGCCGATCCAATCCATTTATGGGTGCTCGATCCAGGAGCCCATATGTCGCTCCTTATTTCTTCTCACCATATGGATACGGGTACGATTATTGAGTACAAAATTCCCCATGCTAACCACTTGAATGTTTCGCTCTCTTCCTAGACATTTAGCATAGTTCTATCTGTTGCAGGAAAGTCCCGAGGTTCAGAATGCCAACGCGTTATGGCCCCTACTATTGAATGTTAATTTTGTTAGGGGCAATGTTGAATTAGTGATATTATCACACTTGAATGACTGCTTGCCCTTCTCTTTATTTATKATGGAAATTGATGTTTGGTATAATTTTAAGAGATCTTTTCTGTTTATTAAAAGAAACGGAGTGTGAGGAAGCACGATGCAGGTTCAATCACTTTAACAAAGTGAAAAAAGGAGGGAAAAAAAAAATTTGTCAAAGCTCTGCTATCACTGTGTAAAGGAAAAGGCTCCTCTGGACTTGCTGCAGGTAAGTTTTCAAGATCTTTGTAATTGTGCATTGAGTTTGAAGCTAAAGATGGAACACAATACTCGTATCGAACTAAACGATTTTATATATTTATTGCTTGCTTCTTTTATTCAATTCTGTGCCAAGATTTTGTCTGGGTTTGTTTCCCCCATCTGCTAGTTCTGTCAGTTGTAAAAGTTCTGGTTTGAAGAACAAGAGTCCATGGATGCACCAAACTATTACTTGTTTCYGATCGGTTAGTGTAATTAATAATTACCTTTACTTCCATTTAGCCTATATCAAATCAATTTGTTAGACATTACTGTCTGGTCTTAATTTGCCTTCCTTTGTTGGTGTTTGGATTCAATCCTCTCATTTGTAATGTAATAATATTGTTTTTTTTTTTTAATTTGGTTTGTCATGGAGTGGTAGAAAAAAATAACTCTCTTTTCAAATGGGAAAAACTCGKGGTTTGGCCCAAATGAGCTTTCATTTTCGGAACCTGTCTCATTCTTGTGTATTTTAGGCCCTATTTTAATGCTAGCAACTGACTTTTTAGTTTGGTTAAAGTTTTAATTTTTCTTCTCACTTTTATTTTTGGTTCGGTTTCGAATATTTGGTCTTCAAATTTTCACTTCGTATGTCGGTCTTTTAAACTTTAAACTGCAACGCTCAAAATCTAGACATTAATAATTTAGTTTTTCCTTCTAAATTTTTGCAACAATTACAAGTTTTCTGCATTAGATTTTAAATGAAATTTATAATGTTAAAGAACTTGACCATTACATATTATAACATTGTAGGAGATTTAGTGTAGACTGTGTTTGAACCAACTTAACTTTTAATCTACCATCTTATGTTAAAATTTGGATTTAGTGCATATGATGAACATAAAGTTCCTAATCTGTTATAATCTTGCATTTCACTTTATGATAAATTTTGAATATGAATCTTGACGAAAATTGAATTATAATGAAGTTTTAAGAAATGAGATTAAATAATAAAGGAAAGAGTTCAAACATTAAAATCAGGTCTTAATAATTATATTGAAATATCTACCATCTACCTCTAATGTTAAAGTCGTCTTCGACGAAATATATTAATAAATAAAAAATGATGAATATGGTAAGTAATTGTTATCTCTACACAATCTCGATCGTCAACGAATACCATTATCGAAATCCAATGATTAACAAACTTCTAGAAAGAAACAAACTTCTAGAAAGAAAGTATATATATAATTACCTTTTTCAAACTCAAAGGAAACTATACATAAAAGTCAATTTTATATTTTATTTAATTTTTTTTATCATTAATAAGGATTATGACCGTCAAAGTGAGCATAGTTCAACGATAATTGAATAATAAGTATTATGACCATTAAAGGTTACACTACTCACCACATTTAAAATCCGAGAAACAATTATTGCAATTGATAGATAAACTAATAAAATAGTTTGTCTATACAAATATGAAAAATATGAACAAAAAAATTTTAATAAAAGTTTCGTAGGATGAGGATTTAAACTAAATTTTTTTTATCAAATAAAAACGTATATTAATTAAAAAAAGACCATTAAAAGTTACATTAGAAAAAGAAAAAAAAAGTTGTGACTATACGCCACATCCAGAATCTACAGTTGTTAGTGCAATTGATATATAAACCAACAAAATATTTTGCTCTTTTGTAAAGGCATACTCTACAATTTGAGTTCAAATAATATATAGGATAAGAATTTCAACTAAATATTTAAGGTGAAAATGTAAATTTCTAATCTACTTGTCGTTAACGATATTACCTTATGTTCAAGCCAACATCTTTCATTTACATATCCATTTGATCATATTATACATTTAATGTACTATTTAATCATCATTTGAAGGGTCCTCTCATTGTTTTGTAAACTCTTTAAAATTTCATTTCATCCATTGATAATAATCTAATGAGTCAATTGATACAATTCAATATTACAAAATATGTAAAGACAAAACTTTAGTAAAGCTAATAATACTTATTAAATTTCCAAAACTTTACCAACAAATATTGAAAAGAAAATAAAATCCATTGGCCACATGTTTGTTCTTCAAAAGGTGTGAGCCCACGAAATTCAAAAAACAATGATTCTCATATCTTCTTTATCCCATTTTTTCTTCTCCCTCCTAAATTCCTTCACCTCTATTCCCATCATTACCTTTACTTTATTCCCATTACCAAACACTCACAAATTCTCCACTTTGGAAAAATAAAATAAAAATACCACCTAATAATTACTGCTCCTTTATCTTG